CCTGTGTGGGACGCCACGCTCATACGCGTGTGATGAAATTAATCGGAGCCCAGCTCCTCGCCGAGCCGGACTCGCGAGCCAAACTCGTACGTGTATGGGCCCCTTAACAGACTATACAACACTCACCTGATGTACGGAACACTGGCCGCCACGTGGAACTTTGCTCCCGGGTCAAAGTCTTCCTCTGTTCTGTGCACTGGCGGGTCAATCCCTTGATAATCCTCTCTGGAAAACACAACAATTGCTGCGTCTCAGGCCTCTACAGCGGTGGTTATGAACTAGCGAGATAGCAGGCGGCCACCTTGCCACACCTGCTCTCACGCTTGTATCTTGCTCGAAATAATTGACCCTGAAGATGGAGACGATATGTTCCTCCGAAACGTCGGTCGACTTTCCATGTATTACACGGCGTTATACCACAAAACAGTTGCTGTATAGATTTCGCCATCGCCCTCGTATGTAAAGGGAAAACCGAAGGAAAGAGATAACTTGAGAGACCTAGGGGTGGATGGAAAGATGACATCGGATCTTAAAGAAACAAAGTGAGGAATCGTGAATGGATTAAGTTGGCTTATGATAAGGGCCATTTGCAGACTTTTTTCAACACGGTAAGGAATGAAGATTTCGGTCTTCTGGTATGTGACACCGTGTATATATCAACCGACGTTTCGGAGGAACATTTCGTCTTTACATTCAGAATCGAAGAGTAAAACACGTAAGATGCCACCTGCCTATTATTGCTTTCTTGCTTGACGTACTCTTCTAACGTGAAGATGGAAGTGATATGTTCCTCCGAAACGTCAGGTTCTCTCCGATATACCTCACGTTACAATCCAGACGACGATAACTTTCAGTTTAAGGCCTGTCAAAAAAAAAATCCCGAAGTTTTCAGTAGTTCATGACGTTTCGTCGTTAGCAAGCACGACATTAGCCCATTAAGGAAGTAGTTCTCAACCGGTGTGCCGCGGTACACCAGCGTACCGAAGAGAAGAACGGTTGTATAAAATAAAACATGAATTTGTATAAACTTATTAAATTCCTGTTCGTAACGAGGATAACTTTATACGTCTTGTACAATAAACGCCGCTATTTAGAAGACAGGCGCACTTTTATCATAAATCTGATTTCTCACTTCTAATTCCAGTGCGACGAAATATCCGAAGAGAGCCATGAGTGCCAAAAGATTCTATTGCTTTAGTGCTCAGTGGTAACAATATATACCACTTACTACTGCAACATTTGAAATCTTCAGTTTTGCCTAAAGTGTATTGTGACATGTAGACCCACTGTCAAGTAACAACTGTATAAACAGGCGACAGTACAATAGCCGTTACTAGGGAACAGCCCTGTGGACACGTCATCTCCCCGTCAACGAGAGAACACGCAGTAATGGAAGAGACGTTGTCTGTGCGGTCCGTGTCTTACTTACTTACTTACTTGTGGAGCCGAGCCCTTCTTGAGGAGCGGCAAATTCTGAAGCTACTCAAGAATTTCCCAGCATTTTATGGAACCCGAAGGTTCATTACCGTGTTCACAAAAGCCTTCCACTGGTCCATATCTTGAGCCAGACCAATCCAATCCATACCATACCATCCCATCCCATCCTATCTCTCTAAGATCCATTTTAATATCGGCCACCCACCTACGCCTTTGTCTTCCCAGTGGTCTCTTTCTTTCTGGCTTTCCCACAAATAGCCTATATGCATTCCTAGTCTCCCCCATTCGTGCTACATGCCCTGCCCACCTCATCCTCCTTATGCTTGGAGAAGAGTACAAGTTATGAAGCTCCACATTGTGCAGTTTTCTCCGACCTCCTGTCACTTCATCTCTCTTCGGTCCAAATATTCTCCTCAACACCCTGTTCTCAAACACCCACAGTCTGTGTTCCTCCCTTAATGTCAGAGACCAAGTTTCACACATGCAGACAGAACCACAGGCAAAATTATAGTTTTGTATATTCTAATTTTTATGTATTTGGACAGCAGACGAGAAGACAAAAGGTTCTGGACTGAATGGTAGCAAGCATTACCGGAGTTCAATCTCCTCTTAATTTCCTCCTGAATCAGGTTTTGATTTGTTATCGTCGTTTCCAAATATCTGAACTGTGTCACATTTTCAAAAAGTATGTTACCTATCTTTATGTCATAATTTTGTCCTGCATTTTGGTGACTAAACAGCAACATATACTTAGTTTTTTCTGTTTACTTCTAGACCAGCCTCCTTACTTGCGCCAATTAAAGTTTGTGTTGTCCGTGTCTAGGTTATACTATTAAAGAGGACTAATAGTTCAGTTGTTGGTTGAGGCGCCATGCTACAAACCGGAAGGTCGCGGGTTCAATTCCCGATGAGGTCACTGGATTTTTCAGTTACCTAATCCTTCCAGCCGCATAATGTCCCTTGGATCGACTCAGCCTCTAACAGAAATGAGTACCAGGAATCTTTCCTGGGGGTAAAGTGCGGCAGGCGAGTAAAGCTGACACCCTCACTGCCATCTCTGAGCCGAGTGTCTAGAAAATGTGGGAGCCTCGACGTCTCACAACCCTATGGGCCTCCAAGGCCTGTTATAGGGATAGCTTTACCTTTTTATGTATGGGAGATATAGTTGTATCCAGCCCCGTGTGTGGGCGGGTTCGAATACCTCCAACATAGGCCTACGAGTCGTAGGAAAACCAGTGTCTGGGGTAACTGGGGGATATAAGTACAGGGATCTGGCCATCTGGGTTGGGTAAATCTCGAATGTGAGAAACTAAAATCTAGCCCCTCGGGACTCGGACCGGAGAATGACTACTCTATCAAGGACCAGCAGCAATTGTAAAGGAGAGTTCCATCCTCTCGTCAGAGAAGTCACACCACATGAACAAACCTACAACTGTCTGGTCTTGGGCCCCAGATGGGGGCTTGCCACGAAGATCATCGGTCGTAACATAACTTTGACCCTTTGACCTTAACTTGATGGCTGAGTCAGTTGAGAGTTGCAGTTGTGACAAGTGAGAAGCTGGTAGCTGAGGCCGGGGTCGGTTCGTAACCCAGACGAAGGCGAACTTCCGCTGCTAGAAGCATCTACCAAGCAACGGCTAATGAAGACTGAGGAAACTTTATGTATACTGTAGTTTACTGTGATCTTTGGAGTGTGTAACTCAGGGAGACTGTCGTAGCTAGTTGTAGTTACGTTCTGCTAAGTGTCCAGTAAATCCGATTACCAGTTCAAACCCCGTCTCTGGTCACAATCAGTTGACCAATATGTTACCTTGAAAATGTCTTTGCTACACAAACCTGAGCCTCCACCATTCACAATTGTATTTGTCGCTTGTAATCTTGCCCTTGAAAACGTCCCATCTCCACAGATCTGTGACGTAGGCAAAGGGAAGAAACGCTATTTTCTGCAGCCCCTGATGGTATAGATAGTTGATGGTTGCCTCGTAATCTTGAGCTGCCGACACGTCGCCTTCCAGCAGACCGATCTGTCGCAGGTGTTTGGGCGTTAGCACTGACAGGGCTATCAGATCACCCACCGCCTCGTGGAAACCTGAAAACAACGGTTACGTGAGAAGTGAACTGACAAACATTCACAAACCACTCCTCGAACTTTCGTTTTGTTATACAATACCAAGCCCAGCTGGCTCGAGTCGTAACAGTTCTCATCTGCGAGGTAATTCGTTCTAATTAACATGACTGAGGTTCTTCGTGCTTTTCCTCAGTCACAGTATAATTCTTGAATAGTGTCATAAATTAGGCCACGATCTATTAAATTCATTATTCACTAACAATCCTAACATTCGACACTATGTAGTCTGATCTATTTAAAAAAATACAAAACAAAAAACAAACTCCGTGGCCTGTAGTTCGCAAGCGAACTATACTGACCGAGCGACCGCAACTTGTCGGCGATGTTAGTGCCAACCTTTGCGGATAGAAGGTAACACGTGGTCAGCGCAACGGATCACCACGACCGTTAATCTCGGTTCTCTAGACCGGAGCCGCCATTTCCTTCAAATAGCTCCTCAATTATTATCACGAGTCTGAGTGGAAACCGTTCCAGAACCACTACTTCTCAGAAAATTTGGTAGCGTCGGGAATCTAACCCGGGACCAGGAACTTTGACTACTATACCACAGAGGCGGTCGAGCTATTTATTGGTAGCGTCGTTAAATAAACAACAACGAACAGTGTAACAAAACGCATAGTAAAGTTCTTTTTTTTTTTAATTAGTGGATTGAGGCTGAGTCCACTCGGCACGTCGGCCTCGACTGGCCTGCTGTACCAGCCCCGGGTGATAGATGATGATGATGATGAATGTGGAGCAGCCGGTGGAAGAAGAATCTGTACGGCAAACCGAAATGTTCACAGAAAACCTGTTCCAGTGCCACTTCATTCACCACAACTCCCTCAAGACCAGATCCGGGCTCGAACGTGAGCCTGAGCTATGGCACGGCCCTGCTTAGTAAAGCAACTGCAGATGTCCGCCTATTGGCTACTCCATGTCCAGTCTTGCGGTTGTATGTATTCGTATACGGAAAGAAGGGTCATCGTGAGGAGGAAAGTGTATATGTACATGTTCCCCATTCCGAACGGTTTCCGAGATAGAGCTGTTTCACTGTACAGTTCCAAAACTGCTGATAAGAAAGAGATATTACGTACTGTTTCTAATACCGGTCTTTATTGTTCAAGGGACAAAGTCGCTACAGTTTACCCAGTATAATACATTTTCGAAAATTCCACCGTCAACATAAATGCAGTTTGCAACTCGTGTGAGGACATGGCGTGTTGCTCGTCTGTACAATGTATAGTGAACAGTAGAGTGAAACAGCTCTATCTCGGAAACCGTTCGGAATAGGACACATGTATGTACACACTATTTTGCTTAGAATGGCCAGCACTGTGACCTCCCGGAATACTGACCTTTCCTCATGGAACACTATGTATAAAAAACTAAGAAATTCTTAGGCTTTCGTGGAACCCATAGGTTCATTACCGTGTTCTGAGAGTGCGCCACTGGTTCCCATCCCAAGTCAGCTGATCCTATCAAAACCTATCACCCTATTTCTTTAATATCCATTTTAATATTACCCCCCTGTCTACTACATTTTTATTTATTAGAAATTTTAAATAACCGATAAAAATTAACGGGTTAAAATTTTATTATTATAATCGTTTTAAGTATCTGTACCGAGGTAGTTTAAATAAATATCTTTATTAATATGGCTTAAGTATTTTGTTTTAAGATAGGTTAAGTGTCTGAAATACTCGTATTAACACGGTGTACACACTTACGTATTAACATTTTTCATCATATAGAAGTATATTAGGATGGTTTGGGTACACGGTAGCGTAGTTGGTTGAGGAACTATGCTACAAGCCGAAGGTCGCGGGTTCAAGTCCCGATGAGGTCATTGGATTTTTTTTTTCAATTGACCTAATCCTTCCAGCGCACTATGGCCCTGGGGTCGACTCAGTCTCTAACAGAAATGAGTACCAGGAAATCTTCCTGGGGCTAAAGGTTGGCTGTCTGGAGCTTAGGGCTGACCTCACCATCTGTGAGTCGACTGTCTAGAAAATGTGGGAACTTCGACGTCTCACAAGCCTATGGTCCTCCACGGCCTGTCTCAGGGATAGCTTTACCTTTTTTGCCCTTATTATTATTATTTATTATTATTATTGGAGGGGGTGGGTTTCCCCATGCCCCGCGACCAGTGGTCTATTGTACGTCCCCCTGTGATATTCTACCAGTCTCTATACCCTACCGATACTGGTGCGTGCCATCAGTCCCGACTCAGCCATCGAGTTCGGCCTCTACTGGCTCAGCAGTATCTAGATGCTTTCCCCATCTACCAGAGGCGTTAGAGACTATTGTTGGGCGGGAAACGTCCTTGTAATTTGGCTCAGAGACCTCCTTGAGGCATGAGGTTCTTTTACGTGCCGTAAAGCTACGACACGGGACCCACGGCTTAAAGTCCTTCCCGGAGGACTTGTTCCCTGAATTTTTCCGCCCTTAAAAATCCCACGACCTCCGCCGGGTTTGAACCCGCGTACCTTGAGTCATGAGGTGGGAACGTTACCCCTAGACTACGGAGGCCGCTTTTTTGCCCTTACTTACATATTAGGATGGTTAAACTGTATTGATATGGTTCAGATATCTGTACTAAAGTGTTCTTTATGTTCGGAAATCGTGTATGAAGGTTGCCATATGCCAGGTTCTGTCTGAGGGAAGACACATACTGTACGAGTATTCATTTGTTTCGTTTTCCAGACTGCAGATCTTATTGCGAGCCAAGATTCTTGACGTAGAGCACGAATTTAGTTGAATTCTGTACAGCTATAAATGTCACAACGTGTACTTGCCACTGACTAGAGCCATCACACAAGATGGAGACGTTCCCTGTGCTACTGAATACCTGGATTCGCGCCGTCCTTGTAGGCAACCGGCTGGTCTCTGTATTGAATGAAATACTGGACATGCCCCATCTCGTGGTGAACAGCGAACAGATGGTCCATGACAACTCTGGTACACTGCTTGATCCTGGAAAGTAATGACTTAATATTCTCTTTTGTGCCCCATATTAAGAACCTTATCTATGTATCTATCTCCTCTGAAGTCCTTTTATTGAACTTTGGCTACTTTCTCAATTTCATAAACCTATACACAGACGGTAGGACTCCTTGGACGGGGGATCAACCTGTCGAAATGCCGCTACCTACATGCTGTAGAACACACATAATAAACGCGTACACAAACATCCATGCCTTGAGCGGGATTCGAACGCACGATCCCAGTGTTCATGCCTTAGACCTCGTGGCCACTGTGATCGGCCATATTAGGTCTTCTGGCCTGTCATAATTCGAAATCTATTCTGTCATTATGAACCGCTTAAGATATTTGAGGTGATTCTTTTGGATAACAGATCAGCACCGTGCAATGGTCTCTCCCTACACAGGGTAACACAGAACACGTTAGGAAATGCATGCATAGCGTAAGAGTAATATGCCGTTCGTATATTCCGGTAAGAATTATGGGAAAAGTCTTTTTGTTTTGTTTCTCTCTGGAGCTTTCGTTTGAAAAACTTTTATCGACGCTATCATAGACTATAGAGCAGAAAAACCACGAATTATTGGAACTATAGGATACTAGTGGCCAAAATACTGTTTTAATAATATGATATGCTCGTTTCGTAGAATGGAGAACTGTTGCCGAACGAAAGCTCCCAGTTCCATTGGTTACGTAAGTAACATACATATTGTAGCGTGTAGACCCGTTACTGGGTAACGACCACGAAACAAACAACGAAACAACAGCCACTGATAGGCAACAGATTCTTAATAAGTGGGACAAGTTTAGAGTTTAGTAAGTTGTGAGACATTCGCCAGCCAGTAAGAACGTAAGCACTGGACATTGTTAGGTTCCGTTATCAGGAAAAGGTTAGTGAAAAGAAATTTGGAAAACTTAGTATATAGTATAGTGTGAGTGTGTGAACTAGAGACAGAGCCATACTTACTTGTGGTTACGATCTCTAAGTGTTCAGATAAATCCAATTACCAATCCGAAGCCCGTCTATAGTCACTCATACATGTAAGACATTGCAGATGAATTAAATTAGCGTAACACAAATGTCGACAGGTGTGACAGCAGTTTAGTTACCTGAAGTCCTTGCCGTCGTGGAAGTCCCAGGCGGAGGCGTGACAGATGAGTTCTCTGCCCTCTGGCTTCTGCAGGATGGAGCGCTCCCAGAAGCTCTGTGGCATCGCGCTCAGGTTCAGTGACGTGAAGAATTCCTCGGCCAGTCTGAACATTTTGACAGGCGTGTATCCCTGCGCAAGGTCAAGAGAAGATGGCCTGATGTCAAGGGACACAACTCCCACCCACCGACTCTTTTGTAATTGGCTAATCATTCCTCCCGTCCTTCAGCCCATTTCAGGGCGCACGGTTCCCAAGTCACATTTCCCGTTCCCGCAACCTGTCTCTGATTGACAGCCCCGTTCTCCGTGACCCATTTATCTTACCTCTTTTCCAAACCGGATCTGTTTTACTCTGATGAAGGAGGCAGAATTTTCCTTTGTAACGACTATTAAGCGCAGTTGTGCCGCTGCTCAAGAATTTTGCAGTATTTTATGGAACCAGAATGTTCATTACCTTGTTCACAGGAGCCCGTCACTGGTCCCTATCCTGAGCCAGATCAATCCAGTCCATACCACCCCATCCTATTTCTGTAAGATCCATTTTAATATAATCCAGCCACCTACACCTTGATCTTCCTAATGATCTCTTTCCTTCTGGCTTTCCCACCAATATCCTCTATCTCTATCATTCGTGCTACATGCCCTGCCCATCTCATCCTCCTTGACTTCGTCATTCTAATTATACTTGGAGAAGAGAACAAGTTATGAAGCTCCTCATTATGCAGTTTTCTCCAACCTCCTGTCATTTCATCCCTCTTCGGTCCAAATATTCTCCTCAACGCCTATCCTGAAACATCCTCAGTCTATGCCGTTTCGTTACCTACAATGAAAGGGGGAAATATAAGTTTTGAAGAATTCATGGTGACTGAATAAAATTAATCTTTTAGGGCAGTCGGCTGTATTATTACGGTGTGAATTATCAGTGTTTCGTAGGTTGTTTATGCCTTCATCATTAGGGAATGTAATCCTATTACGCAGCTCTTCCTGTACCTTTATGTAACGTTGATTCCCGGATCCTGGCTGGCGACGAGAACAGACACGCAGCGTTCCAAATGCACTTCATACTGACATAGCTGATCGCCATATAGAGGCAACTAACGTGTTTTACCTGCTTTTGCATCTGAGGAGTGACATCTACAGCTTCCTTGTCAGGGTAGGGTGTGGAGATGTCCAGAATGTTGTTCCAAGTCTGAGACCACATGTTACCTGAGGCGTAAACATAAGGACAACGTTAATCGGGCGCAGTGTCAGTGAGCTTAAGCTTAGGTGGTGTAACATGGACTGACACAACAGCTGTGCGCATGCTCGTGCACATCACAATGAAACTGAGTAAGCCAGGCGTGAAGTTTCTTACCGAGAAGATGTGCCGGTATGGGCCCACGGGCCGTGACGAGTTTCTCGCCGTAAGTTTCCCTCAGTTTCCTCCTGACGTAAGCGTGTAGCTGCAGGTATAGAGGCCGCACCTGGTCCCACAGGCGTGCTACTTGGTCCCGGAAGTCAGGGGACTCGTAGTCCTTTAACCAGTACTCGGCGTTGTCTGTGAAGTCTGCAACACAGATCCGGTTTATGTGCTTCAAGGTCAGGCTGTTGGCCCAGTGTTAGCGAATGAACTTCGTTTCTCCCTTTCTGGCGCTAAATTTCTTTGTATTGTGTCATGTAGACCCGTTGTTAGGCAACGACCATGAAATTAGTAACTATACAACAACGTTAATAAGTAACGGGTCCACCAACAAGAATACTTCTACGGCGACAATTAAACAGCAACGGAGGAACGGTGTTTTCTATGCGGTGCGTGCCAAGATGTTATAAGCAGCACAGTCAGTGGATATGGTTGGTGAGTGAATTAGAGGATCGCTGCGGTTCAGTCCTTGTGAGCTGTTGCTGGTAGAAGCTGGCAGCTGCGGCACGGGGTAGTTCGGGAACCCAGAAAAAGGGGAACGTCCACTGTTGAAAGCCGGTACCAAGCAACTTCTAGTGAAGACAGCAGACTTAGAAGACTTAAGTGTGTGGTCTAGTGAACTTTAGAGTGGATGAATTAGTGAAATGGTTATAATTACTTGTTATTGCGGAATTCAGTAATTCCGGTTATCAATCCAAACCCCATCTATAGTCACTCAATCACGTGACATTATTTCTATGTACGTTTTAATAGCATAATAAAGCGAGTGAAACTTCTCTTCTTGTAGAAGTTCGAAATGCTGGAGAATTTGATTAGAGCCGATCACAAGGGATGGCTAGCAAACGGTGCGGAGTGGCTGGTAAACAGTACGAAGTGGCTGGTAAAGTGTGCGGAGTGGCTAGTAAACGGTATGGAGTGGCTGGTAAACTGTACGGAGTGGGTGGTAAACTGTGCGGAGTGGCCAGTAAATGGTTTAAATGCAAGCCGGAAGGTATAGGAACTGTAAGGAAGTCCAGACTGAGATGACTAGAAGAAGCAGAGAATGATTTACGAGAGCTGAACCTGAAGAGGTGGAGACAAGAGGCAATGAAGAATTGGCTACTGTCGTAAAGCAGTGCAAGTCTCTTCGAGGACTGTAAACCTTTCCCTCTAAAGCAATCACTTCGACGCTATCCAAGTTTGAGCCCCTGCCATGCTGAGGGTCCCGCAGGTGTGCGAAGTGGTACTCACTGTTGAGTGTGGCGGCTTCATTGCTGAGAGCTACGTAGTGTTCGAACATCCTTCGACATTTCTCACCGGACACTTTCCTCCATTCCACCCATACGTGCTTGAGCTCGTCAGGGTCTCTGCTTGTCCTCAGGATCTCCACCAAATCTGTTCAACAAAGCTGCCATGTCAAGTCATGTCTCTCTGTCTGGGAGTGCCGGTGCCGTTAACACCGTAATTAGAACACAACCTGTAACTCTGCGCAGGGTTTCTCGTGTTGGGGCGCCTTTAAAGACATTTAAATTGTAAAGGGGAGTTGCGAGTATAATTAGAATGATCAAGTCAAGGAGGATGAGGTGGGCAGTGCATGTAGCACGAATGGGGGAGGCGAGGAATGCATATAGGATATTGGTGGGAAAGTCAGAAGGAAAGAGACCACTGTGAAGACTAAGGCATAGGTGGGTGGAAAATATTAAAATGGATCTTAGAGAGACAGAATGGGATGGGATGGATTGGATTGATCTGGCTCAGGATAGAGACCAGTTGGGGGGCTCTTGTGAACACGGTAATGAACCTTCGGGTTCCATAAAATACTGGGAAGTACTTGAGTGTCTGCACAATTGGCGGCTCCTCAAGAAGGACGCAGCTCCATGAGTAAGGGAAGGGAGTTGCATATGCACAGTTCTTCAAGAAAGAGGGAAGCTGTTTCTGTGTGTCCGAGGTGACTGGGTACTGCGATCATGAGATGTTCTGTTCTGACCTATGAAATCACTAGCGAGGTCGTCTCACCTTTTCTTTCTATAGGTTGCTTATTTCACAATGCTGTCGGTTTCGAGACTATATATAGTAGAAGATATGATGGTAAATGAGCGAGGAACAAATTTGATGAAATTTAGAATTGGCAGGAAAGACGAAGTACTTCGAGGAAAAGCCACCAAAGTACCATTTTTCCACCTCAAATCCCGCTTGACATGGCCGGGGATTGAACCCGGGCATCTGTAGTGAGAAGCCAGAACCTAACTGCCTGAGCTATGGCACGGCTAATCACATTGTTTTCGTTGAGTTAATCGCATAACTTTGAGGTTATGTCCGACAGAATCTGTCTAGTAGGAACGTACGTTACAACAGTTATGCTCGCAACTCCTTGCATTATGTCATGTATGGGTATAAAAGGTAAAGCAATCCCTGTCACAGGCCGTGAAGGCCCACAGGGTTGTGATACGTCGAGGCTCCCACATTTTCTAGACAGTCGGCTCACAGATGGCGGTGAGATTAAGTACAGCTATCCCTGCAACAGGCCGTGAAGGCCTATAGGATTGTGTGAGACGTCGAGGCTCCCACATTTTCTAGACAGTCGGCTCACAAATGGCGGTGAGGTTAAGTACAGGTATCCCTGCAACAGGCCGTGAAGGCCTATAGGATTGTGTGAGACGTCGAGGCTCCCACATTTTCTCTAGACAATCGGCTCACAGATGACGGTGAGGTTAAGTAAAGCTATCCCTATAAGAGACTATGGAGGCCCATAGGGTTGTGAGACGTCGAGGCTCCCACATTTTCTAGACAGTCGATTCACAGACGGCGGTGAGGTTAAGTAAAGCTATCCCTGGAACCGGCTGTGGAGGTCCATAGGGTTATGAGACGTCGAGGCTCCCACATTTTCTAGACAGTCGATTCACAGACGGCGGTGAGGTTAAGTAAAGCTATCCCTGGAACCGGCTGTGGAGGTCCATAGCGTTATGAGACGTGGAGGCTCCCACATTTTCTAGACAATTGGCTCGCAGATGTCGGTGCGGTTAAGTAAAGCTGTCCCTGTAAGAGGCCTTGGGGGGGGGCCATATGGTTGTGAGACGTCGAGGCTCCCACATTTTCTAGACAGTTGGCTCACAAATGGCGGTGAGGTTGTGAGCCTTACGCGCAGGCCGCCCATTAGCCCTTGGAAAGTTCCTAGTACTCATTTCTGTTAGAGGCTGAGTCGAACCCAGGACCATAGTGCGGTTGGAAGGATTAGATAAATTGAAAAATCCAATGATCTCATCGGAACCCGCGACCTTCCGGCTTGTAGCACAGTGCTTCAACCGACTACGCTACCGCGCGCCCAACTCATAAATAATGTTAATAACATAAAGTGCACCTAGTCTCCCCATAGTCGGTGAGCTAGCTAGGGAACCTGTAAGTTCATTACCTTATTCACAAGAGCCCACCAATATTACCTTTCCTGATCTAGATGAAACCAGTCCACACCATCATATGCTGTTTCTTTAAGATCAATATTAATATTAACCTCCACATCAGGGCCGCACCATAGCTCAAGCGATTAGTTGCTGGCGGCGGCCTGGGTTCAAGCCCGTGTCTGGTCAAGTGGGAATTGTGGTGGACAAAGTGGCATTTGGGCAGGTTTTCTCCGAGTACTTCGGTTTCCCCTGCCAATCTTCATTCTACCAAATTCACCCGTGGCAGGCTACAATAGGCCAATCGGTGGCCGCCGTGCCGAATGGATCCAGGTGGATTGCACCCCCCACTAAGCGAACCTTCACGTCTCTTCCAATCTGTCTCTTTCTTTGATGTTTTTCTCAAAGATATTTCCTTGAATTTCTTTCGTTTCCATGCTCGCTGCCTATCTTACCCATCTCATCTTCCTTGATTTCAGCAACACAATATTTTGTTAGATGTACAAACCGAGAAGTCGCTGATTATGTGTTTTAATTATGATAAATAATTAAATAATTTTGGCCGAGTGTGTGGGGTTTTGTTTGGTGCATATAACTGTGTTACAGGAGGATGTGATGCCGTGTAATATTTTTGAAACTACGCTGACGTTTCGGAGGAACACAACGAGGAAAAGAATCAGGTAACGGCAAAGTTGTGCTTAATTAAGCGCCGTACCATGAACATGTACGGGGAAGGGCGGGGGTACAGATCCGGGTACTCTTAACCTTGGCAATAGATGGAGGTGAGTGGCCAGCATCATGCTCCGGTCGCATTATCCTCGGATGCTGAAACAAGTAAAAAATGTAAGTGAATGAAATAGCAAAATTCTGTGTTCAGACCACACTACACGGCGTCACATCCCACATTGTTGTATCCTTAATTACAAACATGGACGCGATGCGAAATTCTGAGGTCATATTTGTCATATTTAACCCTTTATGTACAGTGAGAATCAATCACAGAAATGATTGTGTAAATAGTATGTTAGAGGTGTACATGTAGATGTAGACTGAAACGTGCGAAAGGGAGCAGCCTTTATGCCCTTGTAAAGGCAACTCTATGTAGCTACTTGCTTCGCCCTCTCACGCTTAGAATCTGATTTGCAAGGAGCAGCGTACACTACAGTACATGCAAACATGTTGAGCTAATGTAACCTGGTTCCAAACTGAGGTCACATTTCTTGGGCTTCCTGTAGCCGCAGATCTTGGCCTTGCTGTATGTGGAGTACATATCAGACATCAGTTGCATGTACTGCAACAGAAAACACATTCCAAATAATGACCTTAAGATACCCATAATTTTGGAATCAGTATAGGACAGATATATACCAAATTTCGTGATACGCCATGAACGTTGCTTAGTACTGGCTATCGGAACTGCAAACTCATCCTGTCGAGGAGGTCACGGGTTCGATCCCATGGCTGCTTCTTTTAAGACACTTAAACTTGCCTCCTCTGAAAAGGGTGACCCTGTGATAATGCCCTGCCTGTCACCCAGGTTCGATCGCACACACCAACCCTGCCCTCGTAGCCTCGTCACTGCGATGAATGTCCTGGTTCTTTCTCCTGGCCTTTGATCCTTCCTAATTCACTATAAACAATTTGCATGGTTTAGTGGCGGTGGGAAGTCCGCGTGGAGACGGGTTCGAATTCCTCCACCGTAGCCCTGCGTGTCGTAGGAGGCGACGAAAAAGGAGCCCAGTACCTGGGGGTATAACCGGACCACCCTGTTCCTGGGGTGTTCCACCAGGTTGAGGGAGTTTCGAATCTGAGACAGTAAAATATTGACCCGAGAATGCTGCACTGGCGAGGACCAGCAAAAATTGCAAATTTCAGAACCATCCTCTCGTCAGAGATGTTACATAAGGACTATGACCGCAAGATTTAAGTCGAAAAAATCTGGTCGTGAGTTTCAAGGGGCTTGGCGCCAAGACGAACTGATTGACGGCAGACCGCCAGTCGTGAAGTGACTCTGACTCTGACTCTGACTCCGGCAGTGAGGAATTCTGGTTTAGAACTTAGGTCATGTTACGGTGGGTTATTTTAGAACGCTCTTATTATCTGCACTACATACTTTCTTTGATTGGTGAACTCGGAACGATTTGGAAGGAAATGGTCGTTTCCTAATCTAGGTGCCTGGAGGGACTGAGGAATAGCAGTAAAATCTCAGTCAGGATAGCCGGTGTCCCGACCAAGAACCGAACCGAGTACCTCCCGAACACGATTCTGGATCCGTTCCTCTCGATTGAGGTCATGTGAAAATGGATCCTCGTGCACTGGGAACAAGACCACGTTCTGTGTCTCCCTCACTGGGACGAATGAATGAAAGCTGTTTCAGGCCTGTAGTGGAACGGTGAACCTATCCGCTTCTCTGACCTGGCGTGTGCGAGGCTATGAAACGCTGAGGCATGTAAACTGCACAACATGTACGGTTGACTGTCACTCGTCACTGGACCTTATGGCTCCGTCACGGCGGTTGAATAGTCTATACATAAGTAGTTCTGTAGGATTTTCAAGATAAATTCTGAGATTAATCTGTGCGTAGGAGTACGAATTATTATACTAATTAGAAGACCAACTCCCTTATTATACAACCCGCCAAGTGTAGGGTTAGAGATGAAGCCCCCAGATGAAAGACTGAGGTTGTGATACTGTGCTGCCTGTCAGGACTATCGCACACCTCAGGGGGAGGTGATAGAAGAGTATCGTGCAATAGTGGAATGTTGATTAACAGAGGAAAATCAAAAAGAATCTGGAAATCTCATTCTATTGCCATTTCGTCCATCACTAATCTTACGTGGTGAACTGGGAGTGAACCCGGAACTCCGCTGTGAGAACCCAGGTCCTGCCTGAGCTATGACTCCAACTGCGAGCGGAGTCACAAATGTCTGCTGCAAGATAAGATCGGAGTCACAAATGTCTGCTGCAAGATCAGAGCGGACTCACAGATGTCTGCTGCAAGATCAGAGCGGACTCACAAGTGTCTGCTGCAAGAGCAGAGCGGAGTCACAAGTGTCTGCTGCAAGAGCAGAGCGGAGTCACAAGTGTCTGCTGCAAGATCAGAGCGGACTCACAAGTGTCTGCTGCAAGAGCAGAGCGGAGTCACGAATGTCTGATGCAACGGCAGTTGGCGCCAGAGAACAGAAATGGACTTCGCCCATCGTCCCAGTTTTTTGAAACGAAAACGTTTCGGAAGCTGGTTCTGTTCCCTTCATGAGGTGGCAGGTCCAGGCTCTGAGACTACCTCTGCAGAAGGGGTCCAGCGGGATAGGTTTCCTTGCTTCTTGCTGACACAGGCTTTAAGGAAAATTTCATAATATTATGGACTGAAGAGGGTGGAACAGTGGACAGTGTGAAACATACCGCTGAACAGTACTACCGCACGGTATCATGAGAGCGGAGCCAAGATAGCTCGGTCACAACAGTGACGGCCGAGCATTAGGGATTCTATTCCCAGCATAAGCAGTATTTCTCCACAGCGTCCGCACTGACTCTGCCCCCTCCCCACAGTTTCCTATCCAATGGGTACTTGGGGTTTCTTCCACTGAAGTAAAGCAGCCGGGGCGTGAAACTGACCATTGAACTTAACTTTGCCGAGGTTAATAATATGTGTATCTATGCCTCAATTCCCCATACGGATTCATGGCGTGGTGCTTAATTAAATACAGGGGAACCTTTACATTTACCTTATCACTGTCAGAAATATTCAGAAGAAGTAATCATACTTTTTTAAGATAATATCGGTGTTGCTAGTACCTTTCCGAATTTTTCTCTTTCGAGGGCCGCGTAGCCCAGCACGGAGTGCTTCTGGAACTGTCGGCGGAGGTCAGGGTCCTTGTACGTGGTCCAGGGGTACTTGATCGTCTCCAGCCACTGGTCCTTGACAAACCTGGCATCTGCGTCCATGACAGCCAACTGCGGGACAATTGAAGTAGGGTTAAAGCATTGAGATCTGACACCATGGCGATTCTTAAAATTGTGGCCTTCGAAATATAACACCGTCTTGTTTTTAGGCGGACACATGAAACTTGGTGATTTGGACCAACTGGGGGGGGGGTTAAACTAAGGGGCCAAATCCGTGCCAGTAAGAAGACTGATGAGTGGCAGTCTGTTCACATAACCGGGACAAGTGCTTACCCAAAACAGTTCGCCTCGAATTGAGATAGCTTGTTTTTATGACCGTATCTGCCTACAAAACTACACGGTGTCACCACCCAGAAAAGCACTGTCTGAATATAAAGAGATATGACTTCGTGAATGTCTCTACAATTTTAGTCCCTAAACCCACAATTTGTGTTTCAGATTGGGCTGTTCTTGGGTGTAACGCCGAGTATTCGGGTAGATGCTTACTGACTTTTCGGGGGATCATACTGCGTGCATTTTCATTTCAGCCTTGATACTGGCCAAGTCAGTTCAAAATGTAGCTTTCATGACTTGTAACTTATCAGCGAGGTAGCAGGTTCAAACCTCGGAAGGACTACTGGCTGTCATGACAGGCTTATCGCGATTTTCCGCAGTACCTCGAAGGAATGCCAGAATAATGTCTCGAATTAGGTTATGGGCTTTTCCTTCCACATTCTTTCCAATTCATTATTCACTGTAATTCCACCACCCGACGCTGTCTGGGGAGCGCCGCTGCATGAACCACAAATAAGTAAAATCGAACCATGAAGATGGTCGCGACAGGTTCCTCCAAACATTGGCACACACCCACCAAACTACACGGCATCACATCCCAGAGCACAACAGGCGTCGCGACGCTGTCAGACTTGCCCCTGCTGTGTTCGCGGTGTTGATGGAATCGCTGAACGAGTCAATGTTGCAAGTCCGCTAGCTGGTGAACATACTGCATCCATCTTCAGGGTAAAACTAATCATTTATTCATCAAATTTCAGAGCACGCTGCCACGGCGGAGAAACTGAATATCACTGTCAAGTGGATTGCAATCCTGCTCCTTTTCCGGACATCCCGGGTTCGACTTCGGCCTGGAGGTCGGCTATCCTGACAGGCTACTCATGGGTTTCCTCAGTTATGCTAGTCTAAAGTGGGATACTAAGGCTATCTCCACGAGCTCTTCTATATCCTTTCAAGTTCGTTATTGACTAATCATACTTAAAATGTTCCTAAATGAACCAAAAGCAAATAAATCAAGAAGTAGGTACATAGTTAAATATATTGTAGCGTATAGGACCCTTACTATGCGACGACCGCTAGATGGGCAGATACGCCAGGGTCGCTTCTGGACAGCGGCTCACTGAACACATTCCCATGAAACAAATACAAGGCTCGTTGCTAGGTAGCAGATTCTTAATAAGTCAATAGTTGGACTACAACAATGGAAAAGCTATGTTTCATACGTGGTCCGTGCTGACAGCTTATAAGCAGGACAAGGTTACAGCTTACTTCTAACCCGTGTGGAGGCGGGGTCGAATACCTCCACCGTGACTTTGCGAGTCGTAGGAGGCGACGAAAAGGGAAGTCTGAAATCTGTGACAATAAAATATGGTCGCGAGTCCCAAGGGACTTGGACCCGAGAAAGACCGCGCTGGCAAGGGCCAACAGCATATGCAAAGGACAGACCCGTCCTCTCGTCAGAGAAGGCGCCCCACAAAAATAAGACCGTAACTGTCAAATGGTAATAATTAATATCTGGTCATGATCCCAGATGGGGCTCGACACCAAGGCTTACTGTCTGACTGGCCGTCAATCGCAATGTGACTTTGACTTTGACTTGAGCTTACTTCTGTCAGTTCTCGGAATCTGTACGGGAGTCTGTGAAGAGAGGACTTGAGCCGGAGGCAGAGGAATGACCATTGTTGGAAGCGTTACCAGGAAAAGTCTAGTAATAGACTGAGAACACTAGACTGCGTGCTCTAGTGTACTGTATAGTGCGGAAACAGCGATAATGCTATAGTTACTTGTAGTGACCAACTGTAAGTGGTGAGTAAGCCCTATTCAACAGTCCAAACCCCGTCTACAGTTTAATTTTTTTTTAATTCGCTTAGTGGGTGTTGGAGTCCAACTGAGTTCACTCGGCACGGCGGCCACTGAATGGCCTATTGTAGCCTGTCCTGGGTGATTATGATGATGGAGAATTTGGTGGAATGAAGATTGGTAAGGGAAACTGAAGTGCTCGGAGAAAACCTGCCCCAGTGCCACTTTGTACACCACAAATCCCACTTGACCAGACCCCGGGCCGCCGCGGTGGGAAGCCAGCGAGTAACCGCCTGAGCTATGGCGCGGCCCCCGTCTACAGTTACTCTAACGCGGGAGAAGCGAAACATTTAAAAAATCGATTAAGTACTTTCATAAAGGAATAAAAATTATTGAAATACATAATTAAGTAAATAAACGGATAAACTCAAAGAAATAAATTAATTAATAAAGAAGGAAAGGAATAAATACGTAAAAAGTTAAATTTCCTGTGCTTAACTAATTAAGCACTACGCCATGAAGGCGTATGGGGGACTAGATATATAGATCCACATTTTCTTTGCTTCAGCACTAGTTGGAGGTAAGTGGTCACATTCGCGGCCCGGCCGCTTTGCCCTCGGTACCCATTGGATAGGAGGTTGGGTGGACCCCAGAGGTGATCTGCACGATTTGGAGAAGAGAACATTCTTGAATTTACCGAACTCGAACGCAGATCCCTCGGTCGTCCAGTCCATAGCCAGTCGCTATACTGACTGAGCCAACCCGGCTCCTAATAAATAAATATTTAGACGATCAATATACAGAAGAAAATTGAATGATGACGTCACAGCACATTGATAGATTTCTCAAGATTTGCCTAAACCAGAGGGACAGAGGGGGACAGAAGGAGAACCGTCGTGAAACCCGACCTACAGAAGCAGAATCACGTGACTCTTGATTCAAATATAAACTGAACTGGAACGGATAACTGCAGACCTGATCATTTGTGCCACATATCATTTTACAGCCCAGAAGAGAACCAACAACTCAGGTTTACTTCCGGCCTGCTAACTTGCTTGGCTCAATCTTCAGACGGAGGCACCATTTTCCTCCGAAACGTCGGTGTCATACCTTCAGATCTAACATCAGTAAACTTATCGCATTACCTTACCTGGGCTTTCAGATTCTGTTCTGTTATGTTGGTTGCATACGCCCATCTGACCAGAGACGCCATGTTGGCCCTCCTGTTGAACTCATCTTCTAGATCCTGCAGGTACTTCCGTGCCTTCGCTTCTTGGTCTTGAGTTCGTTGCTTATCCTCGTCAGTTTCAAACCCCGATACAACTGCTAGAGATACCGTGACCAGCAACACCAGGAACTGATGCGTTAATAGGTAGACCTGGGAACAGAATTCATCAGTCTAGACTGTACAGACCTGGGCGCCGGCGGCGAAGGGCAGCCCAGACATCTGCCCTCTCCCCACCCCATTGGATTTTGGAAAACATCAAAATTTGAAAAAGAATACGACAAAATAAAAACAAATTATTTTAAAAATTATTCTTCCATCCAGACTACTTTAGGGCTATGATGAAATATAGGCTTAATCGGCTTAAATTTAAGTGTTCAGCAAACTTTCTTGCACCCCCCACTGCGCCAAACGGACATTTTCGTCCACTTCTCAAAAGAGTTGGGCCTCATGTCGTCCTGAAACGCGGAGGAATGTAAAATGAAGAATTGAACGAGTTTTGAATTGTAAAACCGTTCCTGTTGATCCGAATACAGTGAAACGTGTGTATGTTGCCACCCACTGTTCCACTCAGACGTGGCCAACTTGGCCACGGTACCACCTTAGGAAAACATTTTTAAATGTCTGCATTTCTGTGTTCACAGAGCCTGCATACTTGGCTACTAAATTGAGCTGTTTCTAACCGCTCACTTCTCCGCAGACTGACCAGATCTATAGACCTGAAGCGAATCGTAAGGAAATACGGCGAAACCTCACTAAATCGAAATTTGTGATAATTCAGATAACCTATTTTTTTGCGAATTAGACCTTGATGATCAGATTGCCACTGTCTAAAATATTTTTACAAAAACTAACAATTTTACATTTTAGGACAAGTAAATTTATTTTATGATATGCAACCTGAGTTTCAAAATAAAGTTGTTTGCCTAAAAATACATAACGAAGTTCCGTTTCATGACCTCCCTGAACGTATTTTAGTAGCAATTCTATAATTCTGACTTCCATTAATTCGTACAAGGTTTCGCTCCCAATTAGTGAGAATTTCGTGAGGTACTACTCTATCAGTTCCTATGTCTGTGCCCTAACACTGTGAAGCCCGAAATTCGTTTTTATAAGGCCTAATACTTAAAAATTCATTTCATATATCCCAGGACTCCATTATGTAGACCAGGAAGTAAACGGGGTTATTCTGAAAAACATATATAAGCAGGTCTTCAAAGCAAACTTAACAGTTTTTCTATCATATTCACTGCTGTGCTTTAAAGGATGACTACTCCACACCTATTTCTCTGCTTGTTTACGAACTTCTTTCAGACTCAATAGTTGGTAAGCATGCATCTCACCTCCATGTTTAAGTTGGTACTCTGGGCCTGTGTTTGTTGTGGCTCCATTAGTGAATCCCCCAAACCCGTGTCCATATGTGCACTGGTAATACTTTCCATCCTCTGTGAACACACAATGTCTACACGTCACTTACGTTTTATATTTCGTTTGGTAAGCCTGCTTTTATAACACCAAATCTTTAGCAGTTTATGAAGACCAAGATATCGATGGTGAAATGCTGATGAATAGCAGAAACCTCGAGAATAAAAAAGTCGTGGCAGAGGGCAGCACTGCTGTTTGGTACTCGGGAGGAACTCCTTCCTTACAGATTCTTCCCAATTCATTATTCACTAATCATGTAATGTTACGTAATCTGAGCCACTGGTAGCGTCTGCAAACGAACAAACAAAAAGGCGTGGCAATAATAAGACCGGAAACCTGCAGTTTTCTGCCGGTTTACACAGATTTGTTGACATTCTGCATGCTCCGAGCTGTTCCGAACGGCCTGTGACTCAGTTCATGTTCAACTGCCTTGCAATTCTCTGAATGCGCTTTTAACGTCACGAATGAGTATATAAATCCCTGCACCTTGATAACTCTGCTGTGGAATTTGCCCCTCAATATGTGCGTGTCTTCTGCGGAATCTGCACCTGAATAACTCTGCTGTGGAATCTGCACCTCAGTAACTCTGCTGTGGAATCTGCACCTCAATAACTCTTCTGCGGAATTTGCACCTCAATAACTCTTCTGCGGAATCTGACCTGAATAACTCTGCTGTGGAATTTGCACCTGAGTAACTGCTGTGGAATCTGCACCTCAGTAACTTTGCTGTGGAATCTTCACCTCAATATATACGTGTCTTCTGCGGAATCTGCACCTGAATAACTTCGCTGTGGAATCTGCACCTCAATAACTCTGCTGTGGAATTTGCACCTCGATAACTCTTCTGCGGAATCTGACCTGAATAACTCTGCTGTGGAATCTGCACCTCAAAACCTCTGCAGCGGAATCTGCAACTCAATAACTCTGCTGTGGAATTTGCACCTCAGTAACTGCTGTGGAATCTGCACCTCAATAACTGCAGTGGAATCTGCACCTCAATAACTCTGCTGTGGAATCTGCACCTCAATAACTCTTCTACGGAATCTGCACCTCAATAACCCTGCTGCGGAATCTGCACCTCAATAACTCTTCTGTGGAATCTGCACCTCAATAACTCTGCTGTGGAATTTGCATCTGAATAAATCTTCTGCGGATTCTGCACCTCGATAAGCAGGGCATACCAGCTTTCAGTAATGTCTTTGGCTATCCGACGTACACACTGCGTGCTATCCTGCAAGCAATTTGTGCCGAGCGAGCTGCCGTATTCTGGAGGTCCTGGGTTCTAATCTCAGCCGGGCCACCGACTATCATGACAGGGATTTTCCTCAGTTCCTCAATACAGATGCCGGTGTAGTAACATTCGTCACCCTACCATCCGACGCCTATATAATCTAGGCACGGAAAGCGTCGTAAAAGAAATAACACAAGAACAATTTGTGTCAGACTGTACTATATATATTCCAAAGCTCAAAAATTCAATAGTACGGTTACCACTGTTGCTATGGTAACCCGAAACCTGCGAATTACAGTCGGTCCAGTTACTAAACGGCGTAATCGTGACATTCTTGCATTTACTGAACACCGTAGGCCTGAAAAGCTTCTAATCGCTTAGCGTTTCATCAGATCTCCAGACGATTATGAAATACAAATGTTCATTACCTTGTTCATAAGAGCCCACCACTGGTCCTTGTATCCTAAGCCAGTTCAATCCAGTTCACACCCTTCTCTCTTATTTCTCTCAAGTTGTTCAGAATGTCACAAAAGCTGCAAATATATCTTATCTTACCCATTCGTGCTACATTTCCTTCCTATCCAGTCCTTGCTGTGTGGCACGTTACTTCACAGTTGTACACAACAGGGTCTCGACGCTACCATCACTGGGGGGGGGGGTTCTTATTTTAACAATGTGGTTAACTTATTTTCAGGTTATTCAACGACGCTGTCAGTAGCTCACCATATCCAGCGTCGAATGATGGGAAGTTTTGTCGAAGGAAGCGGTCGTGGCCAAATTTGAGTTATTATTCAGGAATTAGTCTGAAGGGACAATAAATCGCGAAACATCTGGCGCAGGACAGCTCCGAAGTACGAGACAGGTAAATTGGTCGTGTTCAGAGAGCGAGTAGAAGCGACATCACTCGCTCACGGAGCTGCGCCCTTCTTGAGGAGCCGTCAATTCTGCAGCTACTCAAGAATTTCCCAGCATTTTATGGAACCCAAAGGTTCATTACAGTGTTCACAAGAGCCCTCCACTGGTCCATATCCTGAGCCAGACCAATCCAGTCCATACCATCCCATCCTATCTAAGATCCATTTTAATATTGTCCACACACATATCTTGGTCTTCCCAGTGGTCTCTTTCCTTCTGGTTTCCCACCGGCATCATATATGCATTCCGCTTGTCCCCCATTCGTCCTACATGCCCTATCCATCTCATTTGCCTTAACTTGATCATTCTAATTATACTTGGAGAAGAGTACAAGTTATGAAGCCCCTCATTATGCAGTTTTCTCCAGTCTCCTGTCGCTTCATCTCTTTTTGGTCCAAATATTCTCCTGTTCTCAAGGGAGCCAGGATAGCGTAGTCGGTATAGCGACTAGTTACTGGCTGGATGACCGCGGGGTTGGCGTTGGAGTCCCGGTAGGGTCAAGATTTTTCACTTCATGTCGTCCAAACCTGCTCTGGGGTCCATCCAGCCTCCTATCCAACAGGTACCGCGGGCTCTTTCCCCGGGGATCACGCCGGGGCGTGAAGCTGACCACATATCTCTAGCTAGTGCTGAGGTCAAGAAAATGTGGATCTATACATCCACTCCCCCATTCGCCTTCATGGCGTAGTGCTTAATTAGGTAAGCACAGGGACAACTTTACCTTTTACCCTGTTCTCTAACACCCTCAGTCCATGTTCCTCGCTTAATGTCAGAGACCAAGTTTCACACCTATACAGAACCACAGGCAAGATTAAAGTATTGTATATTCTAATTTTTATGCTTTTAGACAGCAGACAAGAAGACAAAGGGTTCTGGATTGAATGGTAGCAAGCATTACCCGAGTTCAATCGCGCCAGCTATGTACATGCACGAGTACTTACAATTTTGCTGTATCAGTTCATCGGTGAATGTAATTCACTGGGAGTTACTAACCTCCGGTGTTCCCTCGGGGATAAGCACACAGCTCGGGCACAGTCACACTCCGTTCTGTGGGGCGCGATATAGCTCTGAGATGCCCCGCGCCAGGTCAAGGCAGCTAGTGTGACGTAGGCACCTCATTGATAAGCAGCATCTGCAGCCATGGGACGCCTTGCCGCCATGACTGTCTTCTAGGACGTGACCCCGTGTAATCCGGTACAAATTTTCAGAATTTTCGGAGCAATATACTGGTTCCATCTGCAGGGTCGTTCCGGGATGTAGGCCTAAATGTCGGCCGGCGTCTTGCATCACGGTCCTCGAAATGTTTCCCCCTTTTTATGGAAATGATGGTGGGTCCCAGATGCGAGGTACACCTCAAATTTTGTGACATTTAATGTTTCATGCTAAGACACTCATTTCGTTACAAAATTGTGGCTCACAGAATTACTGGGATTTTGGACTTTTTACATCGTCCGGAATTTTAGGTAATAGAGGACACGACATTTCGCAATGTGGATCTGCTTCCGTCTTTGGTGAGAAAGGAAGACACCTACTCAG